GGTTTAACTAAGTTCAATTCTGCTCGATTTACTTGAGCCACATTTCCTGTTGGGTTAGGGTTCATAGCTTGTAGTGTTAGAGTCATTTGTTGAAGTAACTGCGCTATCTGAAAGTTATTATAGCCAGCATTGGTATTAGAAGTATTGGTATTGAATGTAGGTTGGGTAGTAGTGGGCTGAGTCAAAACGATTCCAAATCCTGTGTTTCCTGTTTTGACGGTGTTAAAAGCGTTAGATGTATTAAATTCCCATTGATACGATTGGTTGTTATTTTGTGTTGTATTGCTCCCAGTTCCAAATCCAGAAGAGAGATTAGAACTTCCAGTATTCGTACTTGATGAAGGATTCATACTTGTAGAATTATTAGATTGAAAAGGGTTAGAGATATTTCCAGTTGCTTTAAATGTAATCTGCTTCGATTTAGTTGCTTTAGAAGTACTGATAAGATTTTTACCAGAAATAGAGGCAGTGGTAGTTTCCAACTTTCCAATAGTCATTTGATTAAAGATATTTGAAGTATTTGGATTTGATTTATATTCTCTATGTCTAAAAGAGGGTGAAATATTATGGAAACCTATGGTCGAAGTATCAGTTTCTGGACCTTTATCTTTTGACTGAAGATAAATTATCTTGGTTGTAGTTTCTACTGTATCGTTATCAAAGCCTCCATAAGTTAGACTATCGATTGGAAGATATTCAGAATTATCTGTTTCTACTTCAGCCTTATTAAATTATAGGGACTATTAAGATATACTTGACCGTTATCTGTTTCAATATCTGAATTATCTAAAGTTGCAGTTTCTCAGGGAGAAGTTTTAATAATAGTAGACTGAGGTGATTGAGATTGAAGTTGGCTAATTTCAGATCCTGTATCTGTGTTTGATGGTCTTCCAGGTGTTCTTTCCGTGCTAGTAGGAATATTTGAAGTATTTCTTCTTCTAGTAAGTTGCGTAAAAGAGGTATAAGATTTTCCATCTCTAAGTTGGTGTGTCTGTTGAGATTGAGAACTGTCTGACTTCTGACTAATGTTATCTTTTTTGGAGGAGTCACGTTTAATTCTTCTTGTAATGAATATTCGTTGTAGATAATTGAAGACTGTGTTCACATGATAAATGGAAAAAAATTATTTGTAAAACAATCAGTATCTATAAACACCGAAATTAATTAAGTAATTGGGGGTAATTCAGTTGCAGTAGGGTTATATCTGTAACTTCGAGTTAGAACACTAATCTTAGCAACAAGGGTTCTAAAAAAATCACGATCGTTTAGGTATAATTTAAACTCAGGAACAGTTTGACTAATAATAATAAAAAGGTCAAGAGTAATGCCGGTATATCTATATGCTTTGAATTGGAGTTGATACCAATTCCACAAATTTTTAAAGTTCTCAGGTTCTGGAGTATAAAAAGGATAATAAGTTAAACAAGATAAATCTCTTCCAAGAAGTTCTTTTGGATCAGTCTCTGGTCTGTGACTGAGGTTGTGTAGTTGATTCTCTTGTTTAAACTCATTTAAATTCACAATTCTTAACTTTTCTCAAAAGTTTTATATTCTGGCAGGAATCACCAAATTGTCACCAGGTTCGTTTTCGTTTATCTTAACGTCTAAGTTGAAATGCTGCGATAGCTGATTCTACACGTTGGAGTTTCTGACCTTAGGATTTTCTCTAAGTCCTACAGGTATCCGTTATATTTGAATCAACTTGGCAATTTATCACGTCTTAGAATTTAAGATATATTAGCCGAACTCATAATGACGAACTCAATAGTAAGTTAGTGTAGTATATCACAATAATCCTAGATGAGGATAATGTTGAAGGAAAAAGTAGTTTGTATGGATTTAAATTGATTCCTTTATTTATAACTTGAAACTTGTATGAAACTTATAAATGAGTTTATAAACTTATAAAAGAATTAATTTATAACTTAAGCAAAAGCTATTCTATTTATACAAAATTAATTTGCTACGGCAAAATAATAAAAATAATATAAATAATAAAAATAATAAAAAGAAATAAAATAAATTACAGACGTTAAAGAAATTATAGATGAAATAGAAGTGGCGGGTATTACTAAATATATTCTTACCAATTTTGATAATATTAGAAATTGAGTTTTATTAGTTTTTCATTATAATAAAGGGCAATCATCGAAATGGATCTTAAGCATAGATAAATAATTAATTATTTTATTAATATAATAAATATTATTATTTTGAAATATTCTTACCAATATTGAATTTGATGAGATAGGTTTAGGTTTAACTTCTTGATTATCATTCGTTATGTTTTTCATATTTTGATAAGTAATTCTTAATTGCTCATGAGTTCTAATATGCAATGCTTCAAATGTAAATTCTAAATCTTTAAATCATAGATCTAATAAAACAGTCAACATTCCTTACTTTGTGAAATATCCTAATAGTAATTAATAGATTGATACAATGCTATTTTAACATGATTTTCAAGATTAAAATAATCTTGTACTAATTTTCTATGTTTAGGTTGTTGAGTAATGGGTTCATCTTCTGGAGCATCTTTATAACTAACATTATCATCAAAGACAGTATTTGGGCTAGTTAAATCTATAACTTCTATTTCAGCATCAGATATTATTTTTTGGCTAAATATTGTTAACAGACTAAACATTAAACTAATTAATATATAATTACTTCCATCTAGATATTCAGTTACTCCAGCAAAATTTTCTAAGATAATTATTAAATTACTTATTATTTGCCATTCATTATCAGTTAGATTTATATTCTTTAGTCATTTGTCATCTCATCATGTATCAGGATTAACCATTAAAGTAGATGCTAAAATATCAATAAAATCTCTAATTTTTATTAGATCTTTTCATGCAAGATAGCTTGAATTCTAACGTGTCTCTACATCAGCAATTATTTGAAGGTATTCATCATTTTTTTTCAAATTCTATAATATTGATTATTTATTTAATTATATATAAAATATTAGAATAATTTTAATTTAATTTATTAAATAAATTCTTTGATTTTTCAATTATATTTCATTTAGAAAAAAAAATTAAAATATTTATAAATAAAATATATAAAATTAAATTGTAAAATTTATAAAAAAAATTATATAAAATATAAATATAAATTAATGCTAAAATTATAAAAATTATAAATAAAAAATTAAACTATAATAAAAAAAAAAAATTAATAAATTAATACAAAGCTTTAATAATAATAATCTAAGGAAATATTTAATTAATAAATAAATATGATAAAAATTAAATTAAATTGCAAAACAGTAAGAGTGGATTAAAAAAAACTAACTATGCAACTTATCCTTTTAAACTCATTTAAATCTTAAATTATTAAGTGAAATATATTAAAAGTAAGTTAAAAAATTTTGAGAAAAATTTTGAATTTTAAATAATTACTTATCTCATTATTTGAATGGATAATACTTTTTTGAATATCCAATAATCTTTCAGTTTGTTTAGGAGTTATAAAAAAATTCATCAATCTTTTGGCTCTTGCAACTAAAACTTCAGCGGAAAGTAAACCTTTTCCTATACCTAATTATAGAGTATATGCTGTATAAGGAAGCTATATAAGTTCATCTATCAATATTTCAGCCTAAACTATATTTGATCTATTATCAGTTTTATTGTAAGAATTTTACTAGTTAAATTCTAATTAGCAATAATATCACGTAAAACTATATAAATATTATCTCCAGTATGAGGGTATGGCAAATATTGAATTAATAAAATAACTTCATGAAAGGTAAAATTATTGTCAATAAAGGAACATGTAACACTAATATAACCTAATCTACTTTGAGCTATTTAAAGATCTGTTATTATAGAATAAGAAATAATATTTTCATTAAATTTTTTTGTTACAATTACTTTAATTTGATTATAGGATTCAGCTAATAATTGTTGAATTGTTTTATTACTTAGAAGTTTGTAATTAGGATCAAATTCATGAATAAATTTGATAAATCCTTCATCATTATATATACTGATTGGTTGATTATCTTTAATTAAGATTCTAATAAATTTTTGATCTCAATTACTTTTAATATTTGGATTGTTTCATAAAATTTTATCAATATGAGGCTGTGATACTTGATTATTTCATATTTCATTTAACTTTCTTTTATGACTTATTTCAGTAATTTGATATGTAGCAAGATGAATAATAAAATTGCTAGTGGAATTATCAGAATCCATAAAATGATCATATAATTCTACATCATTCTTTTTTTGAACTTAAACTAAACATTTTACTACCCTTTTGTAAGGTTCAACTGATTCATACTGGTCAAAATACTCCCATATTCAACTTGATCCTGATAGTTTAATATTTAAAATTAGAACTAACTGGTTAGTTATTTTATTTAATTCTATATATGAGGTTAATCTTTATCATTTATGTATTCTTTTTCTTGATCTTTTTGACCTATTTACTTCAGAATTTGAGGTTTCTTCAAGGTCTTCTTGCTGTGATATTTTTAAAATTATTTATAAAAAAATGAAAAAGGTATTCAATGATCATCTAATATCTTGTATTACATTATTTAACAGATGTAGATATCTGTACAGATATCTAAAGATATCTGCATATCTGTAAATGGATATCTGTTGCCTAAATCTGCTATCTGTATATCTGTATATCTACATAGATATCCAGATATTGTATTCATAGATCATATCACTATATACAGTCCCCGGCGAAAAGAATGGTGATGAAAGGCCACATCTATTTTAGGCTGCGGTTTCACCACTTTCTGGATTTAGGCAATTGTTTATATGCCAAATTGGACATTGGAA